GTGACTTATGCGATATCAGGTTGCCGCAAACATCACTTCTTATACATTGCGCACATTCATGTTGAACTTAGGTGGAGCTCGCATGTACATACACAATACACAGCATTTTTGTAAGTTAGAAAAGTTACCACAGGGGTAACTGGCTTTTGGCGGCCTAGCGTTCATAGTGACATTGCTTTATGAACCTCCGAAAATAATAATCCTTGCATTTGATATAGCGCTTTTCACGTCGGGAGGACATCCCAAAGCGCTTCACAGAACACACTGTAAAGTGAATTGACTGTATATTTGTGGGCGAACGCGGCAGCCAATTGCGCACAGCAATGTCCCACAAACAGTCGTAGATTGAAAATGACCAATTTTATTATTGTTTTTCGTTTTTGGAGGGATTATTATTAGGTGTGTGGAGTAAGGAAACTTGCCCAAGGTTTCGCCCTGCCTGGAATTGAACTCAGGTCTCTCGCTTGCAAAGGAGTGCTCTAACCACTGAGCTACAGGACTCCACAGGACCGATGACCTCTTCCTGTCATTGTAATGCAGATCTCACCAAGTGTTGGATTGTTCACCCACTAATTGGGAAATTGAGCTGGGTTTAGTTGTCATGAGACAGGGTAATTTTATCCTGGTCATGATGCGTTGTTCCAATCACAAATGCTGACTTGCTTCCTGTATTACAAGTGCAGAAACTGTAATTACATCCTTCACAAGGCCAGATGCCGATCATCAAAGTAAGGTTGTATGGTATTGGTCCCGTAACCTTGCTGGGGCAAGGTCAAAGAAAACAAGTGTGAGTTGTTACAAGACCTGGTGATGGACTTTAAGTATTTTACCTGGATATTGCTAATAATAACCATTCTGAGTTAAGATTGAACCTATTTTTTTCCAATGGGACTGGTAAGAGCATTGTCTACAAACCATATTGTGATACTTTCACGTGAAGCGTGTGAGAAGTGATGTCCAAGGTGACCTTATGACAAAATAGTCGCAGTAGGACCCAGAATGGCAGGAAACTGTCACCTGCAGGTGCTCCTGAAAACTTTCAACAACAAAAACAAGAACAATTTGCATTTATATAGCACCCTGCATGTAGGGAAGTGTCTCGGAACACTTAACAATAGTGTGATTTGATGCCAAGCTGGGGAGAAAAGGGAGGTGACCGTCAGCACGGTGTGATCTGAAAATGGATAGAGGGGGCAAGGTGGGGAGTTTGAGGCAGGGAATTCCAGAGGTTCAGGGTGTAGTGGCTAAAAGCACAGCTGCTGATGGTGGAGCGGAGGGGTCAAGGGACATGCAGAATGCCAGAGCCAGGTGAGTGAAGAGGGTGGGTAGAGGAGTGCAGCATAAGCAGGTCAGAGAGGAAGGGAGAGGCTACAACAACAACAACAACAACTTGCATTTATATAGCGACTCTCATGCAGGACAGTGTCCCGGAGCAATTAAAGAGCATCTTAACATAATGTTTGTGAGTAACATCTTTGCGTGCAACATGTTTGCATTCCATCCATTTACGATTCCTTTTACAAAAGCATTGTTTACATGGCTGGTCCACATGCTCTGTTATTATGTCCTGTTAGCTCTGCACCCTACTATAGGGGAATAATAATAATTGATATAACAACTTATTATGTCGTTGAGATGTCTCAAAACAATTAGAATAGGATACTGTTATGTTGCCCTTCCATATAGCACTGCCTCGCTTACAAGGCAAGTCTCCTGCGAACAAGTACCAACTGGGACGTGAGGGGTGCTATATAAATGCAAATTGTTGTTGTTGCAGCCCTTCCCTTCCTCTCTGATCTGCTTATACTACACTTCTCTACAGTATAAGCAGGCCAGAGAGGAAGGGAGGGGCATAAAGAGATTTGTAAGTGAGTGTGAGGATTTTTAAATCAATCCGTACTGTGACAGCCTGCTAAGAACAGCAATGACGAGGGTGCAGAGTTTACTATGAGTGAGGATATAGGGGGTAGTTTTGAACCAATTGCACTTTGTGAATAGCGCAGCTGGGGAGAGCAGTGAGGAGTGTATTAGAGAAATCAAGGTGGGAGGTGACAAAAGTGTGGGTGAGGGTTTTGGATGTGAGGTATAGTTGGAGGCGGGCATGAGGTATGGTCAGAGTCGGACGATATGACAGAGGTGGAGGAAAGCTGGGACAGGATGTAAGCTGACAGAACATTTCATAATACGGTAATGAAACATATTAACGAACACCACAATATTTAACCCATAGTTAGGATAGGCTAAAAAAACTATCTCTTTTGGCTTGGAGAGAGAGGAGAAGATCTAATTGAACGTTTTTGAGAGGAGAGTGAAAAATGCTTCCCACTGGTTGGTAAATCAGTAACAAGGGGATATACACTCATGATTGTCACTGGGAGATTAAGCAGGACGTTAGGAGAAACTTCATCAGAGAGAAGGTTGGTAGAATATGGAATAGTTTGTTAAAAGTGGCAATCAGAGCTAAGACTTTAACACTACTTAAATGGGAATTAGATTGCACTTAAAATGAGGAATAAAAAGGGTCAATAGGAAAGGGCAGGAATTGGACGGTAACAACAACAACAACAACAACAACAAGATTCCATTTATAAAGCGCCTTTCACGTCAGGAGGACGTCCCAAGGCGCTGCACAGTTGGGTCATGACCCGAGCAGGGGGGAAATGGTCAGGGTGAGGGGAGGGAAGGGAGGGAGCGAGGAGGGGGGAAATGGTCAGGGTGAGGGGAGGGAAGGGAGGGAGCGAGGAGGGGAAGAGAGTCGAGAGGGGAGCTGAAGGCTCGGTCAAAGAGTAACGCAACCAGGGCAAAATTCTTGTGCTATTATGAGCTTTGCATCTCTTGTGCAACACATTGACATGCCCTGAACCACATCCTTTTTTGAGTTTAAGGGAACTGAGAGTATCTGTTGTTCGTCATAATCAGTTGCTTTAAATGAATCATCTGTTTTCGTTAGTCAAGTGTCTGACACATGCGGAGACTCATCACCATGGTTTGAGTATCCAAACCAAACTGAGACTTCCAATCATCCCACCTACACATGGAGATTGCAGAGACGTTTATTGGATTGGAATGTCGCACTCTCTCCCTGAAGGATGATTAGTATGGCCTGTGAAGTCCTTTGGGATGTCCTCCTGATGTGAAAGATGCTCTACCAAATGCAAGAATTATTAGTATTATCTGCAGTCGTTCCTGTGCATTTTTAATGTTTTAATAGCAGTGTCCCACAAACAGTTGTAGATTTTCTTCCACAAGTGTATTCAGTTCCTTGATAAAACATTCCACTTTCTAGCACCTCTTTGTGAAAAAAAACATCTTTATCTATCTAGCAGCAATTCTCAATTCATTTGTTTACAAGCTCACTGTAATCAATGGAATAGGGCATCGGGTTTGGGGGAAAGAGGAAATAAAGGTGTTTGGCGAGACGTGGTTTAACAAAACTAAAAAGGTTTTAATAAATTCAGATTGCTATGATTCATTATATATCGGTTGGGTTGAATGACTCTGTCTCCAGCTTTGGGTAGCTCTTCCTTTTATAAATAATAATCCTTGCATTTGATATAGCGCTTTTTACGTCTTCTAGACGTCTCAACGCACTTTTAAAATATATTGTAAAGGGAATTGACTGTATATTTGTGGACGAAATGTGGCAGCCAATTAAGCACAGCAGTGTCCCACAAACAGTCGTAGATTGAAGTGACCAATTTATTATTTTTTTCATTAAATCCAATAAGCTTCTCCAGTGCTGTGAGCATCAGCAATTGTGGTGAATTAAAAAAAAGGACATGTGCCCCTGGATTTGATTACAAAATGTGGTCTCCCAACCTATTTAAGCTCATCACAGCATCAAGCTAATTTTTCAATGAGTCCAGTGCCCAGCTCTCAGTCACCCTTCTTGGCAAACATCTATTTGCAGGCAGTTTCTAGGAGAGATGTAACGTCTCCCTGAATATCTGAGCCCCACTTAACTAGCCCACAGAAAATATGTAAACTGACATTATCTCTATCAAAGTTTGGCTCCTGAATTTTTGGGTTAATATATCATGTGAAATACACTATAATACAGTATACATTTGCAAAGCACTTTTCACATCAGAGGGATGTTTCAAGGCGCTTTTCGTAATCTTAGACTCTATTTCAAAAATCCGATTTGGAGTGAGTGCAAGGAGGCTGCCAGATTCACTCCAGAATTTGAAGCTCACAGCTTTGAGGACAGGTTGCCACTCTGGTATGTTTTCCTCATCAACACAGAAGGGGTATTTAAAAAAAATACAAGTTTATATTTATATAGCACCTTTCATGTCAGGATGACGTCCCAAGGTGCTTAACAGTCCTGGCTTGGCGCCAATAGGGGATTAACAAAGGTGCCAAATGGTGCCATGGCCCCGTGCCCATTCAGCAGGGAACTGGCTATACGGACGATTGGGACATTTCCCGAACTCCCCCTGGGTTGCCTACTGAGCAACCCCATGATTGCCTAATGAGCACTCCTCATGAATCAGTGGCCCCTATTTTACCTCACAATCTCAAGCCCTTTCAGATCCAGTCACCCACTTGACCCATTATCATCTACTAATAAAGACAAAATGTCGGACTGCATGTCTGTGTGTGTGTGTCTGTCTGTCAAAAACACAATAATCGATTAATATAGAGACATGATTTGTAACTCATCGGAAAGGTCTTGCATGGACGAGTGTCATGGGCATATTTGTTATCATTAATTAGTTACATTAAGAAATATATTAAAAATGTTTTAATTATGACAAAAAACAGGTATGCATGATATTCTGCAACAAAGTGGTGGCAGAGTTCTGTGGCTGAATGGATCCCCTCAATTTTGGTCTCGAGGAAATCCAGCAAAACAAATAAAATTGGTTATTCATTTCATGGCTGTTTGTGGGACATTGCTGTGTGCAAATTGACCGCGCAGTTTGCTTACAAAATGTATTCCCGACAACTTTACCTTACATCCTGTGAGACATCTAACTGACGTGCAAAGATTATCATCATTAAGTACTTGCTCAGCAACATTCACTTCCTCTTAGAAAAAGTGTACATGGAGAATTGGCAAAGTGCTCTACCGTATTCCGACTGCTGGATTCAGTTTGATCTAATTTGATTTGATTGTCACGTCTACAGAAAAAGGCACAAGGTATTGTAAATCTTTACATTTCTCTTAGCACTTCGTCAGAAGTACAGTATATTCATATTGTTTTGTTATCATTAAACCGTCTTCCTCTCTTTTGTGTAGTTCATGATGCAATCCAACAGTTTCCACAATTTTAATTCAACTCTTCGTTATATAACTGAAGACACCAGCAATTACTTCGATTATGATGTAAATACATCAAATTCAGATTCCTATTACGTTATACTGTGTGAAGATGAAGATTTACAACAATTTGGAGCTACATTCACAGTGGTCTTCTACGTCCTTGTTTTCATCCTTGCGACCATAGGTAACATCTTACTTTTGTGGATCATGTTGAGGTACGAGAAGCTGAAAACCATAACGGACATATTCATTGTGAATCTGGCCATTTCGGATTTGCTTTTTGCCGCCTCACTCCCGTTTTGGGCAAAGGATCACGTATCTGGATGGGTCTTTGGGAACGCCATGTGCAAATTACTGAGCGGCGTTTTCTTCGTTGGCTATTACAGCGGGATCATGTTTCTGACACTGATGACGGCTGATCGATACTTTGCTGTGGTCCACGCTGTTTACGCTTCAAGAAGTAGAAAAACCTGCTACGCAGTCACAGCAAGCCTGGTCGTTTGGGCAATTAGTTTATCAGCCTCAGTGCCTGAATTCATTTACTCCACTGAAATTACATGGGATCAAACAAAGTTTTGTGAGGCTAACTATCCAGAAGATAGTGAACACATCTGGTTGTTGTTCGGGTATTACCAGCAAATTATATTGTTCTTCTTAATTCCATTAGTTGTCATTGTGTATTGCTATTATAAAATCATGAACACTGTGCTGAGGTGTAAAGCAAGGAAGAAGTACAAAGCAGTGAAGGTGATCTTGTGTATTGTGGTGATTTTCTTCCTGTGTTGGGCACCATACAATATGGTGATTTTCCTGGTCTCTCTGAAACAACTTAATGTGTCGCCATTCACAACCTGTGAGATGAGCAAACACATCGACTACGCGTATTTCATCAGTCGTAACCTCGCTTATTTCCACTGCTGTCTCAACCCCGTGTTTTACGCTTTTGTAGGTACAAAATTTAAAATGTATTTAGTGCAATGTCTGGGAAAATTGTTTCCATGTATTAAAGTCAGCAAACAAGTTTCCAGAAGCACAACTGCCAACCACAGCAGCTCTCAAACCTGGTTCGATGGTGAGTTAGTGGTTAAGTCATGTCTAGAAAGGTAGTCAGTGAAGGTTGAACTTGTAACATTGTACCTTTGGAAGCGATAGGTTTATTAACTATAATTTAGAGGCTTGTGAAAGGTTACTCATTTGTGCAATTATTATTCAGACATTTTCTATGAACTCAAATTGTATGAATTCATATCAATTTGTATTAATTCCATTCATTTTTATATGTAAAGGAGCTATTCTATAATGTAGATAACATTCTGAGGTAAAGTGTCATTTGAAAAAAATGTGTTTGTACAAAAGTGGTTACCAATAAAAGTGATTATCTTCAAATTGATTGTGTGCCGGATTCTAACATTATGTGCATTGCCGTTGGTTGCTGAGCTTGTTAGGTCCCTTGCCCTCCCCGGCACTGCTGACAGTAAACCACATATGCTGGCTTGTTGGCAGAATTCATTCAAATGGTTGGGGCCAAAGCTACTTGTGCTGACCATTGAGTCAGTCTTTGGTGACACTGAAGCTGCTGCTCTGTGCATTGTGTCATTTCTGTGTTAGTTTGGCTGGACTATTCCTCGCTGGTCTCCCCAGCTCCCCAATCATTGAACAGATCGATTTCAAGATCCTCTCACTTGTTTTCAAATAATTCCATTCTCTCTCACCTCCCTACCTATCCGACCTGCTTAGCCCCCAATCCACCACCTGCTGCCTCCGCTCGGCTGGTTCCAGTCTCCAGTTTGTCCCTCGTCACCTCTGCTCCGCCATTGGTGGCTGTGCCTTCAGCAAATATGTCCTGAAACTCTGGAACTCTCTCCCTCAATCCCTCCGCCTTGCCCCTTCCCTCCCCATTTTCAAATCCCGACTAAAGACTCCGCCACTGTGAAGTTCTCCGGGATGCTACCCCACGTGAAGGGTGGTATATAAATCCAAGTTGTTGTTGTAATTTGTGGATCAGTGGATTAGCTCAACTTCCAAGTGTTATGTGTTTCCATCCCACAGACCGTTTAGATCACCAGAGGCATTTAACCCACTCTTTTATGAACACAACTGTCCTTGGCAGCACTTTCATATCTTCCAAGTCTCACACTATAATAGAATTAACCCGACAACACAATTACAATTTACATTTATTCAGCACCTCTCACATCAGAAGGATGTGTCAAAGTGTTTAACACGTTGACTTGGCAAGCGACGTGAGGGTGGGAACCAAGAGCTGGTGGGGTCGGGGAGAGGGAAAGGTGACCGAACACCCTATAAGTTATAGGTTTTAGATGGAGCTTAATGCAGTGAGGGAGGGAGTGAGTCAGAGGGACCTTGGGATAGCAATATAATAATAATAATAATCTTTGCATTTGAATTGATGTCTTTTGGGGCGAAACGTGGCAGCCAATTGCGCATAGCAGCATCCCACAAACAGTTGTGGATTGAATGAGTAAATTATAATTTTAAAAACATTTTTTTTGAAGGGATTATTATCCCCAAAAAAGCCATCTGCCAATCGACTGACAACTGTGGAGTTCTGCAGCTCAGTGGTTAGAGCACTCGCTTTAGAAGCGAGACACCTGAGTTCAGTTTCAGGCAGGGCGAAACCTTGGGCAAGTTTCCTTACTCCACACGCCTAATAATAATCCATCTAAATCAAAACAATAATAAATTGGTTATTTTCAATCCACGACTGTTTGTGGTACACTGCTGTGCGCAATTGGCTGCCGCGTTTCGCCCACAAATATACAGTCAATTCACTTTACAGTCTATTCTGTGAAGCGCTTTGAGATGTCTGGAAGACGTGAAAAGCGCTATATCAACTGCAAGGATTATTATTATTATTAACTGGGTTCCTACTTACTGCTAGGTAAACAGAGGCGTGTGGAGTAAGGAAACTTGCCCACCATTTCACCCTGCTGGGAATCGTACCCAGATCCTCTCGCTTGCCAGGTGAGTGCTCTAACCACTGAGCTACAGGACTCCACACGAATGGAGTCCGGGATGGAGTCCCAGAGAATGGGGAATGAGTGGCTGACAGCCCACCCTCCGATGATGGGTCTGCAATGGGAGGCCACATGAAGCAGGTCAGTGCATATTGAGCATCTCTAAGCACTTCACAAGATTCACTGTAAAGTATGACCATAAGACCATAAGACGCAGGAGCAGGAGTAGGCCATTCGGCCCCTCGAGCCTGCCCCGCCATTTAATAAGATCATGGCTGATCTTCTAAACTAATTCCATTTACCCGCTCTATCCCCATATCCCTTAATCCCGCTATCCTTTAGAAATCTATCAACTTCAGTCTTGAATATGTGTGGTGACTGTTTATTGAATGCAGCAGTTAGCACAGCACATTAGGATTCTGCTGAACTTACATTAACATCTTTGCTTCCATCTGTCCTTATTGAATGAATCGAATCAAAGGGAACGTAACGTTGCCCCTCTGTAGCACATTCAGAATCAATAAAATGGAGGCATGAGAGGGGGTGAGGCAGAGGGATTGTGGGATAGAGTTCCACAGTGTGGGGGCAAAGATCCTGAATGCCCAACCGGCAATGGGGGGGTGGGAAATGCGGGGGACCTGAAGCAGGCCAGTGTCCATCGAGCAGAGGGAGCAGACACGCTGATATGAGGTTATGAGCTCAGAGAGATAGCGGGGAGCAAGACCGTGGAGGGCTTTCAAAGTAAGAACAAGGGTGTGGTACTCAATTCTCTGAGGAATGAGGGCCAGTGAAGCTGGGCCAGAACGGGGGGTGACAGGTTCCCGGAGCCTGGTGCGGGAGAGGACACGAGCTGCAGAGTTCGGAATAATCTGCCGTTTGTGGAAGGAGGAGTTGGGAAGTCCAGTGAGCAGGCAGTTGGTGTAGTCAAGCCAGGACGTAATGAAAGCATCGACTATTAGACTATTTTGTAATGAAAGTGTGGACTATTACATCAAGACTATTGGAATACTCTGCTCGCCGGACTCCCCCAGTTCCTCTCTGCAAAGCTGCAGACCATCCACAACTTTGCAGCCCAAATCCAACCTGCACCAGACTCACTCCCAAATTCGTGGAGCCCCTGTTCCCTAGGCCAGGATGGTCCAACTGGTAGCCCGTGACCACAATCCGTGTTCCGAAGCCCAGGCTGGTTCTGACCTGGTAGGAAAAACAGCAGCACCAGGCAGCACAACCTGTCAATCACTTTCAAACCTGTAACAGGAGCGAGATACACACAGAGAGAAAGGGAGAGAGAGGGAAACACAGAGAGAGAGAGAGCGTTACAGACACTCAGACAGAGACATACAGAGAGACACACAGACAGAAAGAGAGACACACAGACAGACATAGAAAGAAAGAGAGATACAGAGACACAGAGAAAGATAAAGAGATGTACAGAGACACACCGAGATATAGTTGCAAGAGACAGACAGACATACAGACAGACAACAGACAGTCAGATAGATAGAGATACAGAGATAAAGAGATACTGAGGCACATACAGACAGAGAGAGAAACACAGACAGAGAGAGAGAAAGATACAGAGACACCCACAGACAGAGAGATAGATACAGGCACAGTGAGAGAGAGAGACACACCGACATAGAGAGAGAGAGGTACAGAGACAGAGATAGAGATACCGAGACACTCACAGACAGAGAGAGATACAAATACACACAGTGACAGACAGAGAGAGAGAGAGATGTACAGAGACGCAGAGAGAGGGATACAGAGACACACATCGACAGAGAGAGAGATACTGAGACACTCAGACAGAGAGAGATGTACAGGTAGAGAGATACAGAGACACAGACACACAAAGAGAGAGATACTGAGACACATACAGACAGAGAGCGAGAGAGAGAGAGGTACAGAGAAACACACACACGCAGATACAGACACACACAGACAGACAGAGAGCTGTATACAAGGACAGAGATAGAGAGAAAGGTACAGAGATACACATACAGAGAGATAGATACCGAGACACACAGACAGAGAGAGACACACACACACATACATAGAGAGAGAGACAGAGGGCACTACAGAGACACACAGATAGAGAGACAGAGATACAGGGACACAGATAGAGAGATACAGAGACACGGAGAGAGAGCGATACAGAGACACAAAGACAGAGAGAGAGAGATACAGAGACACAGACACACTCAGATAGACAAATACGGACATACACACACACACACACAGAAAGACACATATCTCAAACCACTTTGAGACACCCTCCCGACCATGAAAGGCATTTTATAAATTTAAAACTGTTGTTTCTGGAGATAAAGATTACTGCGAGATGGATAATTTACTCCTATTTTCTGGAAATCAGGTGCATCTCTTAAACCAACCAACTAATGAAAAGTGAGAGTCTAATTTTTTACAATAAACTGTTGTTAACAAAAGTATACGTTTTACCTTTTTTATCTCTCACTGATTACTTCTCTCGTGAAATAAGGCAACTTATTTGTTTTTTTCTATGGTTCCTCTTTGATTGAGGTGGAATTTCCCCACAAGTTCTCAAGGCTAAGGCCATGAGAAATCTTGGGCCAATGCAGGGTGGGGTGGAGAGGGGTTGCGGGGAATACATGCCCTGACATAGCCACAAAACACATCCAATATCACCAAGAGCATTGAAGCAACTATAGGAACAGTTCAATGACACTAATTCGATGGCTAGACTCAAATGTTTCACACAACTAGCGCAGAGTCAAGGGGAAGAGCTGTGATCTATGCAGAAAACCCTTACAGCAGCAGAACAGATGGTGGGAAATAGTTTTTACATTTTGAAGCAACAAATGGTCCAGACATTGACGACTCTGACTCTGGGAAGCTTATTACATTGCGTACATACCCATTAGTAGACGTGTGTTATCGAGGTTAGCTTGGTGTCAGTGCTATTTTCGCTTTAGCCAGTGTTTCTATTAAATTGTGAAATGTTCTTTTTCTCTTCAATCCAGGTTTCGTAAACATGATCACAGTGGAGATTGTTGAATTGGATCAGTTTGTGATGAGGATCGGGGTATGAGAAATACAAATTTATTGTACTTCAGAAAATGGGATGTATCAACAGAATGTACCAATCTTTTGGGGGCTTGTGCATTCCTCTCTTCCTTTGAATAGATTTGGGGGTGAGATTATTTCTGATTTGTTAATTTACAGAGTATCCCTGGGACCAAATTCTGGAAGTTTTCAAATGCACATTGAATGTATTTGTAAAATCCACATGAATGGGACCCACGGATGCTACACCCGGGTAATTCAGTGTAGTGCTGGCGGCATGTTGCACTGCTGCAGGTGCTATCCTTCAGAAGTGACATCAAACCAAAGTCCCGTCTGCTTTTCAAGTTGGATATTAAA